GGGCACAGGAACCGACTAAGATCTCGCCCGCCACTCACGATGTCGGCTTTGTGGCGGCGAATCGATCCCGGGTCACCGGGGTTCCCAGGGCAGTGTGCTCATCGCACCGTGAAGCTACTTAGAGCAAATTATTTCACGAAATAGGATTTACACTTTTGGTTTCTAAACGGTTAACACACGCGGCATAATTGTACACTCGATAATGACATGGTGTGTGTACTGCATAAATCAAATAATACTTGACAATCTCATTAAACTAATGTAACTCACCAATTCAAATCCACAACTCCGGTTTCCCTCGAGTGGTGAGGGTAGAACAAGCTGCACCTCCGATAAGCACGGTTAAACTACGTACGGTGCAAAAGAAGTTTAACATACGGGTACATACGGACACTTTCACTCGGTGAACACGCACCGTGCTGAGTGAATGGTTTAAAGTGGCCTGTGCTCCTTTGGGTGTGATGTGCCAAATGGCCGGTAAAGTGGGATCCCTTTATTTCTTTACCGATTGTACTCTCATTCATTTACCCAATGGGCTAAATGGCTGGGCAGGTGGGTGGCTGTGGGTGCCTTTATATCTGTCCCATAATTAAACGCGGGGGGGAAGGACGGTGGTGATTTACCATTTCCTCACTCAGCAATCGTTGCTTTCAGAACCGGCTCTATTAAAGACCCGAGGTGCAGCAGGTGTTGTGTTAAAACACGTTTTACTAAAACTTTATTGCATGCTTGTGAAGACAGCCAAGTATACAGCTTGAGTTGATGTCGATCAGTTTAATACGTCGTAAGGCTTTTCGCGACCAATATTATCCATGTTTTTTTCAGGCGAGATCGTTTATAAGTGCTTCGTGAAACCCGCCACCAGCCACATTGCCTGATCAAGCTGGTTGTAATTAACGGCGGAACGTCGTACTCTAATTGTAAATGTTGTGGGTTTACTCTCCAACACACCGATGTGCTGAACTCCTAACTAATTTGCATGTTTTTTTTACGTGACAAACCTTACTAATTGGCCCGTATTGGGTGGTGGCCGGTTTAACGACGCATTTATAATTACGAGATCCAACCCGATTAATCGGCAAAACATTTGTACTCGACGTTTTTGCGATTTCTCTTCTCCCTCCAAAGGCACCTGCTTGCGATGCTCCTCCAACTGGCACCTCATACTCTGATGACAATCGACTAAACATCGCAAGGATTCATGTCCTACAAACGTCTTTGGGTTTGGTGAAGTTTTATTGGGTGTGAAAATGTCCCAAAAATGTGAATATATACGAGAGGTGACGGCATGAGTTCAGAAGGCAGAACATGAGCCGGTGGTTTCTGACATCACAAGTGTGCTTCTGGAAAGCCACCATTTCGTGATTTGTCTTAAATTCAGTTCATCGCGTATTGGCTAAATTCCAGCTCAGAGAATTAAAACGATTGTTATTATCAACTGTTATAGAACTCAAAATATTGCTTTGCCCGCCAATGTGTTGAACGTTGCATCTATTTCAGAGATAAGCAAGGTACGTGCTGCATCGTCTCGTGTCTAACTGTATGCAGTCACAGAAAGGGATCTCTGAAGTGCATTACATTTCGCTTGTTTGCCCAGTAATGCCTCACTGAGCCTCGCGATTCTTATTCAGGAGGGTCCTGCCACAGTTTTTTTTACAGTAGGGGGCAATGCCTGCTGTGTAGATTTCAACTGAGCAATATGCTGGTAGTTTTTTTTTAATTGGCAAAGTACAGCAAGTCTTGTGTTATCTCCTTCCATGGACCGTTCCCTGACCCGCAGGGCTGCGAGATTTTCCAAATGAATTTCTGATGTCTTGATGGTGAGCACACGATGGGAAAATTTTACTTGGTGGAAAACAAATACAAAGCGACACCACGTGTATGTCTCACTCGATGCGGTGTGGAGGTTGTGATGTTATGCAATGGTGGTCCAGATATCTTGTGACCCTCATTTAATAATCTAAAACTTAAAACATTTAAAGGTGTAAATAGAAACGAATACCCAAATAAATAAATAAATGTTACGGTCAAATTAATGTGCGGGTCACAAAACATCTGGACCACCGTGTACAGGCTCTCCTTTTCTTACGAACATTCAACTTATGAACTTTCAGAGATACGAACAAACCTGGTCCGTATGTCCGGATGCCTGTTCGGACCGAGAGTCGAAAGTTCAACTGCCGCGCAATAGATCACGGGTTATGGCATCTACATCTGAAGAACGTGAAGAACCAGTGGCATCTACAGGAAATTATACAACTTTTAAAGCCATTCCCCCGTTTAGTGTACATGCCGTACAACGTGTTTGGAATCGACAGGAGTAAAGTTGGACTTACGAACAAATCGACTTGCATACAGACCTCTGGAACCGAACTCGTTCATAAGTAGGGTAGTCCCTTTACGTCGGTCGTTTTGTTGGTCAGTGAAAGCTGCAGTAATAAAAAAACACGGACGGACACAAGAGGAGGGATTTCCAGCCTTGGGTTTACATTTTAATTTCCAGTAAGGTGAGAGTGGGTGGAGATCTCGGGTCTGGAAATCTGTCACGGTGCCCAAATAAAAAAAAATCTATTACGGTAACAAAAATACAAAACACGAAAAAAGAACAGAAAAAAATAAATCTTTACAGAAAAAATGTACTCTAAATCACTTTTAACAATGCAGAATATAGTATATCCAACAATACGATGTAATTATACCATCATCTGAACCGTTTCTTTTGTTCTATCAATAAAATTAAATGTAAAAATTAGGAAATATATTTACAGCATATCCATTGTCTCTAGACACACGATGAGTTTAATTTCTTTTTTTTTTATAATAAAATGCTATAGTACATACGTTTTACGGTTTACAGCTCCACGAGTTACATTATACTGAAGTGTCCCCATATACAGACGAGTTAAAGGGTTACAGTCATACTTTCACTGTGTCAGAATCGTATATGGTACTGTACAAGTGACGTTTGCTTCCATCGGGGTACAAAAAACGAAGTGGTTCAAGCGGGAGGATTTCGTGTGGGCTGGCGGAAATGCGGTGTGGTGGTGGTGGCGATTCAAACATGAGGACGCGGTCCTTATTTGGAACCTAAAACTCTTTTTTTCTTAAACATCCGTGCTTAGCTTCACAATTGCGTTCGCGGAAAAATGCAGTCGCAGCTCTGGATTGCCGGCGAAGGCCCTCGCGTCGCCAGGCGGTTTATTTATTTTGTTTTACAATTTAAACTGTAAGCAGGCAGCGCACAAAGCGAGTGGCCCGGCGCCGCCTGGGACAAGTCGCTGCTTTGAGATTTGAATCATTTGGCGGGACCCCGGGGTCCCGCAAAAATCAGGTCAATAATTATAATTTTTCTTCAGTCCGCCCACTCGTGATCCCGACAACAACGCGCCGCCCGCCCAGACTCGTGCCAACAAGCGCCAGCAGCAGCAGGCGGCGATCGACACGATGGGCGCCACCCCACCGGCCAAACGCGAGCCCCGGGGGGCGTCCGCCGCAGTCGCGCGCGGCGACGACGCCCTCCGGTCAGCCGTCGATCCTCAGCTTCTTTGCCAAGGCGAGCCCCGCCGACCCCCAGGCAGTGAATTTAACGTGTTTATGTAATTTTTCAACTTTTTACGAAACTTAGTGCCCCGAGTAGCTCTCGACGAGGCCAATCGATTGACCACTAGTTTTGTTGTCGGTAAGGCAAGACTCGTGTCGCTACGCGGGTTTTCCCACCCCGGGGCAGTGATGGGACCCCGGGGTCCCGCCAATTGCTTCATTTGGCAAAACGTTTTCCACGGGTAGGAGCGGAGTCGAGGAACGGACGACGACACTCGGCAGCCTCTAACCCCCTCTAAACCTCGTGCGTCGTTCACTAAATCATTATCAGAGGGAGGAAGCACTTTCGCCGATACGACGTCATCACTTCAGTGTATTGTTCAGGGGCCGCAATTAGGAACACTGCTCTAACCGGTGAAATACACGGCGGGTAAAAAGGCTGAGCGAGCCTCCCCGGTTCATTTGTGCAAAGAGGTGAAGTTAAAGTCTGATCGACGAGGCTTAACGATACCCATCACTAAACGACTAAAACATATTTATATTGTACCAGGTAAGGCCCATTGAGCCACACAGCTCTTTTCTCAGACGCGACCTGGCCATAAATGGTAGCGTAACAAAGTGGGCTCCGTCGTGTGGAAATGTATAGCAGCCAAATACTCTAAACGCGTGACGTTGATTCTAAGTATGGAGGGAAAACCCCGGAGAAACAGCCACGCGACCACAGGGAGAACATGCAAAACTCCAAAATACAACAGGGCGTCAGGGTCGGGATCGAACCCACGGCCTCCTGTATACCAGGCGAGGTAGTTAACATTTCCTAGCCACTGTGGCACCCAACAATATTACCAAATGGGCCAAGAGGTGATCTACACGAAACGTTTGAATTGCGTCAAAGCCTGGCTTTTGCTCAGGCTTCGACAGACAAGGTTGCCGAATACTCTCACGCAGGGTTTTTATTGCGATTGTGCCGTACACAGCCCTCCGACGAGTTTTTCGGGTCGTTCCGCGTGTTGTTTGGCACAATGTCCGACGTTTCGCTCCACGTGCTGGGGGGGGGGAGCCCCTTCAGGAAATGAATTCAGCAGCTCGAGTTTTCCCTTGCTTATTAGAGTGAGCTTCCGGTCGCATCAGCCAACCCACAGCAAACACCACGACCAGCAGCAGCAGCAGGGAAAGCTCTACAATCGAGGAGGAAAATGAGCTGCTCAGTTCATATCCCGAAGGAGCTCCCACAATGCGCAGTGAAACGTCAGACATCATGTTTAAACACCACGCAATACGACCCGAAAACACGTCACATCAGAGCGCTAAGGTTGCTTAAGCGCTTCTGCGACCGTCTGGAACGTTCTTCCTTCCGATGTTAGGAAGCCACTGGAGCTTTGCACTTTTAAATCTAGCTTGAAAACGTATTCCTTGAGAACTGCTTGTTTTTGTGTTTAGTTTGTTGTCCCGTCCTCCCCCCCCCCCCCCGCCGCATCTTCAAAAAGCACGGTTGGCTACGTACGGTGCGAAAGAAGTTCAACATACACATGTTCAGCTCGGGGTACGCAGTTGTGAAAGTCGCCGCGAAGGAAGCCCCCACACGAAGCTCTAGTCCGACGTCCGCTTCAGCAAACAAGCGACGCGTCTCTTTAAAGAAATAACCGTTTTTCATTAAATAATTCCACTCGAAGATTCACAATCAACCGTTTCTCTTGGGTTTAGGCCACGTAACGATCTGGCCAACCGTGTTTGGTCACGAGACCCCTCGAGAATCCAACAAGTGAATTTGGGGTCACGTGTCGAAGCGTCGTCTCAACTCTCCGGCGAGTCGCACGCGGAACAATCCTCGCTGACAAATCTCGCAAATTAAAATGCACGAGACGTTTCACTTAAAACTGCATCGAACCTCTCCAGGACAAAATGCAGGAGAGCGACGTTGAAGCCAAGACATGCCTCGCGACAGAAAGTTGGCCAGACCATTGCATGCCCTAAGCCATGCAAATTCCAAATCGTATCACGGGCTGTAACACCGACGTGTTAAGTCCACGAGGTTTTCCTGCCACCGAGGTTGGCTCGAGAGGGGAATTTTTTTTTTGCCTTCATCAGTTTTGCGTGCACACCTCTTTTTGAGATCGTGTCAGTGCAATGTTATGGATTTGATGCGCAACGACAAAGTCACATTTTATTTTCTTTCAATGTGAAGCTGAGGATGAGCCATGGCACAAGCAGAACCTAAGGCGTGGTTTTTTTGTATTTCCAGTTTGTAGCTTCCTACCCCACACTCTTCATTCGTTTTTAGTTCATAATCGCTCTGTAACACCGCATATATATCTCTCTCTCCGCAATAAAAAATATACCTTCAGATATTTCATACCAATAAAACGCCAAAGTTCAAGAGGAGAACGTAACTTTGATACCCTCTGGAGAATGCTGACCAATACTTATAACGCCGAATGGCACGACAAGCCAAACAAAGCCAAGTCATAGTTGAGATACGAGCCACCTCCCAGGCCATGCACTACCATTTCAAAACACTGAACACAGTGAGGAGGGGCGGGGGGAGGGGGTCAGGAGTGCAATGCAAAAGAACCGCGCGTTTTCACCGCGATTTAACCCCCCCCCCCCCCCCCGACGCAAAATCTCGCCTCCAAAAAAAAATCCATGCAGCCACAAGCGCAATGGGCCGCACCACGGATCGCGCGCCACGTGCTCGCTCGAGACAGCGCTTGGGTAGGCAGACTTAGCTCGGGAGGCTTGGGAAGCGTTGGCAAAAGTGAGGCGCGCGCTCGCACACGTGCCACGCACACCACCACCACCCCCCCCCCCCCCAACTAAAACTACATTGGTAAACTTGTCACGACCAATGCTCGCCGCTGCTGGGCGTGGAGCCGGCGTGGCCTCCCCCGTGTCTTTTGTCGAGTTTTCGTTTGGCCCGGTTGAGACGCCTTTCGCAATGGTCCCGTTTAAATGAACGCAACCATTTCTTTTTTTTTTAAGTCCTTCATGGAATCAAACACCAATGCGGTAACAGCTCCGTTTTAAGTGCAACGCGTCCATTGTTTGTACGTTCAAATCGGCCGGTAAACAATACTACACAGTAGAATGTAATTACAAAAACATAGGCTGGTCTGGTTTTGGCCGATAAAATGCATTTGGAGCATCTATTCCCCCGCCCACCCACCCAACGCCTGCATCGTCCCCCCCCCACCCAAAAAATAAAAAGTCCTCCCCGCAATTCGTCGAAATGACTCGCACCAACAGGGCGTGCGACGGCGACACGGGCCGGCACAACTCCAGCTTGCAAGCATTAGCAAGTTGAACGCTTTGGCAAATTGACGTCTAATTGTAGTGTTGGGAAGTGTACACAGAGCGCTCTTTACAAAGCAGCCGTAAGAGCTTCGGCATAATTTCCTCCTTTGAACGCTTGCTGCTGCTACTACATTTCAGCGGACGGTTATTAAAACCATTTTGATTGGCAATTTCACGTAGTGAATTCAGCACCTCTTAATTGTAATAATACCTAGCGCAATTAACAGATCATTTAAAGTCATTGCACGGTTAATTTACAATATTAAATGCACAAGCGGGGTGGGTGGGTGGGCGCGTGGTTGGGTGGGTGCTCGAGTTGATGGGGGGGGGGGGGGGATAGTTGTACAGTGGATATAAAACAAAAGTCGGGAAGACAAAATCACAACAACAAAAAAGCGAATCACATTCGATGTGTAAAACCTCGAGAGTGTGGGGGACGAGCAAGCCGATGGCCCAACGGTGGCGGCCCAATGGTGGCGGCAATCAACCACGCGCCCTGTGAGCGGCGCTGCCCGTGACGAATCCGGGCGTTGTGGGGGGGGGGGGTCCCGTTGAATGCCACCCCTTGTGCTCCCGGTAACGATGACGATTTCTATATTTGTAACCCCCTGACCCTTCCCGCTCGGCCAGGCTGCCCGGCGACAGCCGACCCGAGAAGCTCGTTTGCCGATTTGCGATAATTATTCACAGCTGGAATGGGTCGATATCAATGAATGCAAGCGAGAGAGGGTTTAGAGTCGATGGCCATCATCATCACCACTGCACTTTCTAACGAGGATTCATATGAGAACTCACCGTTTATATTTTTATATTTAAAAAATAAAATAAGAATTGCTATTTAAAAATCGCTATGCTTAAGCAAAATACAGTTCCATTTCAGACTCATTGTGCCTCCTGCCGTCGACCTGGACGAAAAGACAGAAAATCAGTAGCAACCTTCTGCACACACGTGCACGCACGCACACACACACAAACTGTGCGACGTAGCCTCACTGGAATACGTTACAGCCTTCGCTTGATTAAACCTCTCCGCGCTTCCGCAACAAACATTGGCAATACGTTCAGCATCAATGATCGGTCAAGTAGCTCCAAGAAGCGCGTGGCATGGCGCAGTAGCCGCAGGTTCGCTCTCCGAGAAGGGGCCCAGCCGAGAGAGAGACAGCGACCCCCCCTCCTTTGGCTGCCTCTGCCTCGGCAGCGCGGCCGGACGTTCCCGGGGCCGCTCACACGGGAGGGGGGGGGGGGCGGACGTGTCCCAACGGCGTCCCGACGTCGTCGCGACGGCTGGGCCGCCGGGGACGCCGGACCGCGCGAGGCCTCCGTCAAAGTAGTGCCGGTTCCCCTTTGGCACCAGCAGCAGCAGCAGCAGCAGCGGGGTCGGGATGGGCGGTGCGTAGCGGCGCGTACGCACACCCTGCGCTCAAATCGACCCCCTAACACATTCACAGCGTGTCAACCGCGTCCCTCGCCACGTCGCTACGGCCGCCCGCTGCAGTTGGCGCCCGCTTTCCACCCCGGGGGGTGGAGGAAATGGAAGTCAAGAGTCAAGAGGGGTGGGGAGGTGACACAGCTCAGGCCCAAGGCCTAAGGCCTGAGCAGTGGACGATGCATGGGTGAGAGGAGGAGGGCGGAGGAGGGTGCAGGAGGGAGGAATCCACCGTTCGGGTGAGATGGAGTAGACAAGAGAAGACGAATTCACATGCGGCGACTTCGGTGCAAGTGACATTGGTATGTAGGGGCTACGTCTCCCGCAGGAACGCCAACCTCTGCCCTAATGTGGGTGGCACAAGCAGCACCGTGGGGGTCACCACGTCGCCTCGTTAACCCACCGCCTTGCTTCACCGCAACAAGCGTGTTGTTATTTTTTAGTTTTGTTTGCAGGGCCCTTCCAGTCGTCCGGCCATTGCAGTTGCTCCTCCGGTTGATTGGCCGGCGGCGGTTGAACGCGGACGAGTCGGAGGGGTGAGGAGCGCCACTCTGCGAGAGCGACAGTAGGAAGGTGCCGGTGGATCGCGGCCCACGCCGCTAGCGAGCCGAGTCGACCTGCGAAGACAGCGAAAGGTTTTTTTTTGGGGGGGGGGGGGGAGTGTGAGGAGGTGGGGGAGGGTGATTGTGAGTTGTCTCGATTCCAGCGATGTGTGCACTCGATCACAGGCGTACAGCCACACTTGGCAAGTGGGGGGGGAGGGGTACATAACGAGTGCAGGGGTCGGCAATCAAAATAACAAGAGCCACTTTTTACGAATTAGGTAAAAAAATCTCAATATTTTAAGAGCGGCAATGCGACGTGAATACGAGACGGTGGCTCCTTAATAAATAACGGTCACGAAGCAGCAGTCCTTGAAGAGACGCAAGCGGCTCCCGGTTGTTGTTGTTTAAATTACGGAGATCATCTGTTAAGATTTCCCCCCCCCCCACTCCGGAGTTCTACTGTGCGCACTATTTAAATTATGTGAAATGTACTACTGGCAAGGTGGCTCGGTGGTAGAGTGAGGAGTTTTGGATGGTTGAGAGTCCAAATCCTGGTTTGCGGTTTGACTCGGCCCCATGAATATCAGTTTGATCCATATTTATTTCTGGGTTAAGCCACGTAGTAGTCTTATTCCAAAACACGTGTCATTACCCCTCCACCATCCTAAACAATCGTCACGTTAAAAATATATATATATAATTTATCCGTGACAATATATGATCAAGTTCTGACCCAATTCATCTCCTCGCCCGTGGCTTAAGAAATTCCGTGCCTGAATGTAACACGAACGTAAAGAGAAGTGGGAAGTCTACGGTGATTGTCCTAGGGAGAGACTCGACTACGCCATAGGAATGCGGGAATTTCCACCACAGGCTGTAAAGACGAGATGAGCAGCGTCTCTTAATGGTCATGTAAGCAAAGAAATAGTTTGTAGAACTACTGGCGACGGACTCAATACTGAGCCTACGAGCGATGCAACCCCTTCGTATTACACAACACCGACAGTGACTGCCTCGCGTTCCGTTTGTAATGAAACCAGGAGGTTCGTGTCGAACGACTTTGGACATTTTCTTCCACTTGAACGCCAATTAACTCCAAATTTAATTTCGAGTCACCTCCCACTAAAAGCTGCCATTCAACGTCATTAAACGGCAAGTGAATGTTGAACGTCTGCGCACGATTAACGAGGAGTTGACGCGTCTGGCGCAACGCTCACCTGAGAAGCAGACCTGGCTGGAAGCGCGCCGCATCCGTCCGAGCACGTGGCGGTGGCGGCGGCGGCGGCGGCGCCCGCCGCAGCCGTCGCCGCGGCGTTGGGGAGCTCCAGCGCGGACGCGAGGTTCCCCACCGCAGACGCGAGGTTCCCCACCGCGTTGTGCCGCGTCCCCTCCCCCTCGTGCTCCAGCGGCTCCACCGAGGGGTTCGAGTTGCTGTCGACCGCCAAGCTGCGCGCCGGCGCGCTCGTCGCCGCGTGGCTGCCTTGGATGAGCGACGGCTTCTTTGGCGGGATGGGCGGCGGGGCGCCACGGTCCAGGCGCAGCGACACCGACGGGCCCTTGGCGCCGCCGCCGCCGCCGCCGCCCGGCGCCGACGACGGCGACGGCGGCGGCGGGTTCCCGCCGGCCCTGCCCGGGGGGTGCGGCGCGTGCGCCGGCTCGGCGGCGCCGGGCGCCGGCGAGTGCGGCGCCGGGCGGTAGTCGGTGCCGAAGGGGGAGCTGCCGCACAGCGGCGGCGCCTTGCCCGCGGCCATGGCGGCCGCCTGCTGGCTGGCGAAGCGCGAGATCGCCTGGCTCACCGTGTTGCGTGCCAGGTTCTTGACGGGCGAGGAGTCGCGCCGGGCGCCCGTGGCGTCGGGGCTCGTGGGACCGTGAACGGTGACCGAGCTCGCCTGCAGCTGCTGTTGCTGCTGGACCTGCAGCTGCTGTTGCTGCTGCTGCTGCTCCTGCTCCACCTGCGTCTGGAACTTGAGCTTGGCCACCTGGAAGCGCGAGTTGAGGCCGGCGGAGTAGCCCGACCTCAGCGGGTCGGGGGTGGCCGCCGTGGGCGACCCGTCGCCGAGGCCCGACGGGGAGTGCGGCGAGAGCGAGCGCGGGGAGAGGCCGGCGGCGGCGGCGGCGCCGGCCACGCCGCGTCCGGCGCGGGCCGGGGCGCCCGCGGACGGCGCGTCGTGGGAGTTGCTCGGCTCCAGGTGGCACAGGCTCGAAGGCTCCTCGTCGGGCACGGGGGCGGCGGCCCGCGGGGGCGAGGCCTCCGACGGGGAACACGACGGGGGGGTCACCTTGACGCGCGGCTCGCCCGGCGAGCGGGGCGCTTCTCCGGCGGCCGCGTTGCGGTTGAGGTCCGTCTCTCCGGCCCGCCGGGCGGGGCGGGCGTGGTTGGACCCGGCGTGAGCGGCGTGGCTCTCCGGTCCGTTGCGGGGCTCCCGCGGCTTCGCCGCCACGGCCGCCGTCGCTGCCGGGGCGCCGTCCGGGCAGGACGCGTCCCACGCCCCCCCCGCGACGGACGCCGCGGGGGGGGCGTCCGTCCCGGCCGCCGTCGAAACCAACGTCGCCGGCGCTTCGTCCGAGCCGGCGCCCACCGATCGCACCGGGGGCTTGGCCTCCACGCACTTGCTGCTCGTGGTTTTCGCCTCCGCTGCGGCGCCGTCGCTCCGAGCCTTCGATGCCAGGCCGGACTTGAGGCTGAGGATCTCCTCCTGCAGGCCCCTGGTGTGGTGCGCCTCGTGCTCGAGCTTGAGGCGCAGCTGCTCGCGCTCCGTATCGAACTCGGCGAGCTGCTTCTCGAGCTCGGCCTCCACCTGGCCGCTCTTCTTCTTGTGCACCTCCAGCAGGTCGCCCAGCTCCTCGGAGCGGCGCTTCTCCTCCGCCAGTCCCGTGTCCCTCTCGGCGAGCGCCGAGCGCTCCTTCTGCAGCTGCTCGGTGAGCAGCTCGTTCTCCTTGACGAGCATCAGCACCAGCTGCTTGCTCTTGGCGCGCTCCTCCCGCAGCTCGGCTGACAGCTTCTTCTGCTCCTTCTCCAGCTTCTTCACCTGCGACTTCTCGAAGTCCACCTGCGCACCCCAACGTGTGCGAGAATGTAGTTATATATTTATATTATAGGGCCACGGTCGTTCAGTCACGTGCAGCACACCTCGAAATCGCCAGGGAGACACAGCCAGATGGTTAGCCGGCGCCAACAATTGCCCAAGTTCTGGAGCCTCCAATACTAAAATGTTTTCAACCAATTAAAAGAGTGTCTATGCAGCGACACCACTAGAGCCCCATAATGACAGAGGCTACACCGATTTCAATGCCTCTGCTCTCATTAACGAGGCTTTTTCGCCCTGACGTCGGATGGCCCAGGGCACGCAACTTGGTAAAATATCCGGCTGGTTTGACGCCTGCATTTTACCAAACGTCAAATTCACACCGCACCACTGCCGGCGATAACGTCGTCCGGGCGGCACGCCGACGTTACTTGAGTGGTGGTGTGGCGCGGGGTGGAGCATGATAACGGCACGATATGATACACCGCATACGTTCCACGCTACATGCATCGAGTTGCGTTTATACAATCATCAATTGTTCACGACCCGCGTGCGTTACGCGTGACTGGTTCAAGTGACCCCTATGCAACCCTTTACAGGTTGCACACACTCATCAGTGCTAAAATAAATAAGAATTGATTCTTGAATGGAATTGTGACCCCCCGCCCTCCCCGAATCACGACAATTCATTGAATCACCGGTGGGTGGGCGTGAGATGAATTGTCGCGTGCTTAGGTGAGCTGGTAGTGTGGTGTGCGATGAGACGGTGGTGATTGTTGGTCGTCCCCTGTGTCGCGGTATCATGGAGGAGGCTCGTGAAGGACGCTGCTGCTGCTACTGGGCAGTTGGAGGCAATCGCCCTCCAGCAACAACGGAGGGCAGAGGAGGGACGCTCAGAACAACGAGTGTCGGAGGTGGTTTGTGAGTGGTAGTACAACGTTGGCGGTAGTGCCGCGTGTCCCAAAGGTGCCTGGTCGCTGATGGTGTGGTGTCTGTAACAGTTGCAGTGTGGTGGCTTCTATGTTGAGTGGTGGCTGGTGTTGGGGTTTTGATTTTGAAGGTGTCGTGCGGGACGTGGTGCGGTGATCCGTTGCCGGTAGTGTGGTGAGCGTATCACGGTGTCGAGGGCAAGCGTTGGCCGGTGGTGCGGTGAGCGTATCGCGGTGTCGAGGGCGAGCGTTGGCCGGTGGTGCGGTGAGCGTATCGCGGTGTCGAGGGTGAGCGGTTGGCCAGTGGTGCGGTGAACGTATCGCGGTGTCGAGGGCGAGCGGTAGCCAGTGGTGCGGTGAGCGTATCGCGGTGTCGAGGGCGAGCGGTTGGCCGGTGGTGCGGTGAGCGTATCGCGGTGTCGAGTGAGCGTGCCTGCTGCTCCAGGCGCTCGCGCTCCTTCTCCAGCATGAAGGTGACGTCGTCGCCCTGCGCCAGGTCCTGTGCGTGCCTCCTCCGCTCCTCCTCCAGCTCCTTCATGACCTGCTCGCCCGCAGCAGGTGCGCACGGAGGTGAAAGCGCTCAGGGATTTTAATTTCCAGTTTCATAGCGAACGTTCTACGGCCGTAGTGTGACGGGATGAAATGTCCCCTCGGAGCACTCGCTGAGAAGCACATGACCCTCCGCGTCAGCGTACGGCTCGCAGAAGCATACATCACAGAACTACTTCTGGGCTCACTTTAACTGACCTCTTATATCCACACACCCGAGGAAGCGCTGCACTTTGTCAAATGCCCTGCTTCCGAGATGCGTTAATCGCATCACATTAAAACCAGATTTTAATTATCAGAACTGAAATTCAGCCACATTAAGTGAAAACCAATTTTTTTCTTCCAATTTTCACCGACTGGGGTGAAGCCTTCAACTCTCTACACTTGGGAACCCGGTTTAGTCACAGGCAGCTGGCCAGATTCGAACCCAAGACCTCAGCAGTGGTGGCTCAGTCCTCTGGAGCCCTGAGCCCTGAGACAACCCACACCACCACAACCCCTTAACGTATTTGTACCGTACAACAACAAAAATTATTGTGCACTGTCATGGAGGATTTTTAATAATTCTATCTGCTCAAAAAAAATACAATTACATTCAGATAGGTCCATTAGGTCCATCGGCCTATGAGCCTAATAGATCAATGGTCTCCAACAGAATTCTACACGAACCCGCACTGACTAGCGTGGTGAAGTATGGTCAAGCAACCAACACAACCAACGCAACCGACACAGCTTGAGTGAGCCGTCATTCAACAGTGGATCGGCAAATGGCTGAAAATTAAAAATTTCTCAAAAAAGTATTTTTCACGTCTAGTCACGGCGATGACATAAGGTTTTGAGATGCAACAGTCTGGCAGGCGGTTGGTTATGAGCCCTCGACTCGGCAAGCAACAGCACCCCGCACTTTGCATATAAGCTCGCACGTCAACGGTTCCATAAAGAGAAATAAAACCGAATGCCTGTCGCAAAGCAGATTAACCGCAATCGGAGAGGTTATGAGAGAGACAGTCAACTCATGCCCACGATGGGCTAAGGATCGGCTTAGAGAGACAGAGCTCCAGTCTAATAGGTTTACCGTTAGCCGACAGCAATCGCAAAACGTCTTCCCCTTTACGTAAATGACTGCATCAGGACATCCGTGCACAACCCCCAAATTTTTCAACGGTCGCCTTTTCCGCCGACGTAGTAATCTTAAGCAATTCAAATTCTCGTTGTTGCCGGATAAAGTCTCAGACGTGTCTCTTCACGTTTTGCACGCAGCACATTCCGGATGCATGGCTTTCATAAAACAAAAGAGGCTAAATTTTGATTTAAAGCTTTCGTGACTGCAGTGATTCATATTTTTGGTTCTTTCGGTAAAGTCACGTTGAAGGGAAACAATAAAATATATATAAAACAATAAAATTCTCACGACGTTTCGACTGTAACACAAACAGTCATCATCAGGTGTGAAAAAAAACAAAGGCAAGAAACATTAGAAACGGCCACTTCTTTCAAATGTTTCTTGCCGTTATTTTTTTTTCACACCTGATGATTACTGTTTGTGTTACAGTCGAAACGTCGTGAGAATTTCATTGTTTTGTATATATTTTATATATATTTATTATTTTATTGTTTCCCTTCAACGTGACTTTACCGAAAGAACCAAGAATATAAAAGAAGAGGTGGCTTAAATGAAGGCATGACCCAAAAAACAATCGGTTGTTATCTTGGCGAGCCTGTGTTCTCCCCTACCCCTGCCAATGCCGTCAGATTCCAGATTGAGGCTTTGCGAGTGACATAAAAGCATTTATAGTAACGATCAATCCGGCCATCGCAGCACTATCGTGATATACCTGCAACCGATGTTGAGTTTAAAGGCACGAGAGTGATACAGTATCGATGTGAGAATAGTGGCCCTGACTTAAATGTTAAAGACGTAACTTTAAAGAATAGGGGGGGTTTTTTTTTTGGTCATTAAGAAAGTTTCGAGCCCAGGACACACAACACAGGCTTTCTTCTTCTCCCCAGCGAAGCTGTGTTGTCGGTATGCGTCTTTGTTTAAACTGCACGCTGTAAACATGACGCACGCTCTGAAATAAACTCGGTGATTTCCTGCTTAAAAGACCACTGAGGCAGTGCTCATCTCCCGTTTACAGCCCTGAGCCAGTGGTGGAAGTTCCACATTCATATGGAGGGGTCGAGTCTCACCCATGGGACAGCCATTCTTGACCACCCCACGAAGTGGTATATATTTTATCGACCCTGGAGAATGATGATGGGCTGAGTAAACCCCCCTGGCCAGGATTTGAACTCGAAACTTTCCGATTGCGTGCCGTTCTCTCTGCTACGGAGCTGCTCGCTCCGAAACATTCGATGTTTTGCATCCCGTGCTCACTCCTCCCAAATCAACCGCGACCCATGCATTACGTACGTACGATAGAAATGAAAATGATGTATTCATTTCTCACCAAACATACCACCACGGCGAACCGACGGAGGTTTATTTCGGGGTTTTCTTGTTCTTGTTCACGATGTTTCTCTCTGCTCCACAGCACGGCGGGCCACAGGGGTGTGCCCCAAGTGGACTTGCGAAAAACACTGCGGTACTTTTGTTTTCCCAACAGGCACCCTCCTATGTCTCAGCCGCGAAATGATAGATCACCTGTTGCGTGCAATCTCGTTTTTGAACATCACTTAGCAGCCCAAACCGCTCGTGAGTACGGACCCCCATCCGCTCTGTGTGTGTGGTCGCGCGCAGGGACTCATTTGAATGTTCCGTCAAGCAAACGACAAAGCCGGGGCGGCAGACCTAATCACTCTAGATTTGAAGTTTTAATTCTAGATTTGAAGTTTTCGTGACTGCAGGGATCCGTACTCTTTGGTTCTTTCGGTAAAGTCACGTGGTAGGTATAAAATAAAATAAATAAAATCACGACGTTTCGGGCGCAACACAAGCGTCCGTCATCAGGTGGGACAACCACAGTAAGAAACAATTGCTGAAGTGGGCAAAAGGGCTGCTGTGACAAGAGGCCATATAGGTCAGAGAAGGGGGAGGAGCCAGGGAGGAGAGATAGAGAGGGGGGTGTGGGGTCGGGGAAAGTGGAGCGCTGCGAGAGGGATTAGGAGCAAGGCAAAATATATATTTTATACCTACGTGACTTTACCGAAAGACCTAATCACGTCGCTTTCACACACTCGCTGGATGCCTCGGCTTAAGCCCATGCCGTGCTGCCGCTGCCGTCCCACTCGGCAAAGTTTGTTTAAACTTTGTGCCAGAGTTGAAGAGTGGAATTTCAAACAAGAATCCGGGCCCCACAGAGGGGGTTGGGTTGGCAAACACAAAATCCAGGTCGACCAACCTCGCAGGATAAAGTTTACATCCGCGCGCAGGTAATTTGTCAAGGAAATCGAAGTCTGCAGATTAGTCAGAGGGAACCAAACGCATTCCCATAAACAAACAACACTGCTACTGTCATTGCCTGAGGGGGTTAAGAGTTGCATCTTCTTCTCACTGGTGCAACAGTGGGCTTCCCCAAGATTCTGCACAACAATCTGTAAAAAAAAACCACAAAGACATCGGAAAGACAAAGGCTGCCCAGAAGCCACTTTTCCTGTCCGAAGTGCATCACGGGTAATCCTGCACTGCCGCCGTGGATCTTTTAGCGACCGAAACAAAACTAAACTAAAACTACCTTTGTGTTTGCTCTTTGAGTAGTGAGTCACGGACACATTGTGTGTAGCTCGTTATGAAATTACGGCAGACCAAATTGACAAGTTGCGTCGCGTGTGCACTCCCAAAAACGAGGCCACGTAGGGAAAAAAAAAAGTCTATTAAATATTCAGTGACGTGTCAAAACGAATGGTAAAATTTTCACGGGAATGATCCTGTGATGCAGTTGAAATTTTCCGTCGCTTTTTCCATTGATGTTCCCTTTTCAGAAACCCCCTCCCTCAACCGCACACAACGTTTTAAAATATTAATTTAATATCCTTCAAGTAGTTTTCTTTCGCATTGAAAGAATCTTTATGTTTACTCTTCCGCTCGCAAGAGAACAAAGAATAGCGCACAGCTGTTTACGAATAGTGAAACAGCTGATTGGATGTGACAGTCTGGCAGATGCTGACAGTTGCAGTGCTTCAACTATCTTTTGTTTGCAGCCTGTGTAGCGTAACCTGCGTGAGGCTTTCGCATTTCTATTTTGCTATTTTGGCTATTTGTTTGATTTTACCAGGTAAGGCCCAATGAGATATGCCGCTCTTTTTCAGAAGCGACCTGGCCACAAATGATAGCTCAACGAAGTAGCTCATCGTCGTGTGGAAATTTACAGCAGCCAGATACCCGAAACACATTTTTATAAACGGGGAGGGAAAAACCGTAGAACCCGGAGAAAAATCCATGAAACCATGGGGAGAACACGCAAACTCTAAATATACAGCAGGCGTGAGGGTCGGGATCTAATCCCAGGACCTCCTACATACCAGGCGAGGTAGTTAACATCTCGCCACCGTGGCGCCCGGAGAGATATAAAATTTGTATAGAATTTTTTCGATGTGTTTTTTGGGTTGTGTGGCGTGTTTTTTGGCATGATGTCCGACGTTTCGTTCTGTGGTCATGTCCCAATAAAGTGGGCCTTGTAAATATTAAAAAAAACTTTTATATGTTTGCAAAAAAATATTCAGGAAGAAAATCACAACGATCAATTCCCACCTGGAACACGTTCGATCTCGTCCACCTTCGCAAGCCAAGTACGGTTGAGCCTGGATAGCCATTGGATGGGTGACCACCATGCACAGGTTGTTATCCGGCTTTTGAGTCTACGTGATGGGTAGCACAGGGCAACCCAGCAAAAATCAACTGTTTACTGTACTTCTATGCTCCCGCATGTATGCTTCCCGCCTCCAATCCGCACCGACCAGCATAGTCGAGTATGGCCATATAACCCCCCTGAATCCGCAACGGTGTAAGGGAAGGGGTTACAACAAGGGCTGCACGCGTGCTCTCAGTGAACA